TCGATTTTTATTTTTTGGAATTGAAATTGTAAATTTGAATCAATATTCATATAACATCTTTCTACAATGCATTGCAAACAAATTTAATACATTTTTCCACGCATCTATTGCTTTCCTGGCAAACAAACCCAAAGCAGAAAAAACGTAATAGCATGACAGCAACAACAACAAAAAATAACAACAACAGCCATCAGCAACGAAAATGAAGACAGGTAAGCGTGGCAAGCGAAGCAAGCCAAAAGGAAAAACTTCCGACGAATTAAGTTTGCACAATTTTGTTTCGTTTGTTGGTGGGCGGGAGGGTGGTGCGGTGTGACGGGTGCACGCAAAAAGAGCTTAAAAGTGTGTAACGGCACTTGGTTTGTTTTCTCCTATTCAGCGCCAACGCCATTAGCCCCTACTCCCCACAACATACACACTCCCTTCATATACATAACAGAAACAGCAACAACAACAGCTAAGACTACAACGCACGCGTATATTCCAACGGCAACTGTTTTTGTTTCTTTATATGAAAGATGCGAACGAACAAGTAAGAAATATGTATTGTATGTATGGTTTTCAGAGGTAAGGTAAAAAGAGAAAAGAAAGCAAAGGTATGTGTAGTTAGGCGTGCAGTGTGTGGTCAACAATGCTTGGCTTTAATCGAGTACAGGTGCTGGGAATGCCACACCATTTGGCGCCACAGCAGATACAGACACAGCCGACTATCTGCCAGATACAATTTGGCATGCGTTCGTTAAATGCAATGCAACACAAGCACACCACAACACACCACAAAAGAAATAACGCAACAAAAAAAGAGAGGGAGAGAGAGAAGAATCAAGTGCAAAAACAAATACAAGTCAATTCGAATAATGTGGCGATGGCAGCGACGCGACGCAGCAACAGCAGCAGCAGCAGCTGCTGTCGAAGATTACAAGTTAACGGTAAAGGAAGTAGCATAGCGAAGTTGCTTAAAAGCAACAGCAACAGCCAAAGCCACAACAATAACAGTGACTACTGGAACAACAACGACAACAAGACAATTAAATAAACTACAAAACAAAAATGAAAAAGTTGAAGAAGAAAAAATAGACACAGCCAACCAGCCAGCCAGCCAGCCAACCAGCCAACAGCAATAATGTACGCTGGCGTTGGCAGCAGAGGCAGCGCAGGCAGCGGACACGGAGACAGCGCCAGCGCGAGTGCCTTAACATCAAATCGCACAGTGGGCCAAACTGTTCGACGGCGGACGTGCACCAAAAAGTAAGACAAAAGCAACACCAATGCACAGCACTGCTTAAATTTTGTACGCGCGTGCACGTGTCGTCTCTCCAAATTTGTGAGTGTGCATGTGTGTGTGTGTAAGTGTGCGTCTGTTTGCATACTCTCTGAAAGTTTAGTGCTTTGTCCAGTGTTGCCGTTTATAGTACACGCCATATATATGTACATACATATGTATGTGTTTATACTTTTTCAGTATATTTTAGAGCAGAATTCGGCCTTATTGTACATTTGATATTGAAACTCGTAAATCGTCAAGTTTTTTGTATACAATTGTATATAGTAAATCTCTGCAGAAGCAATAATTGCTCCATCATTTGAAAAGAAAATAACAATAATTAATAAACCAACTGATTAATTAATTATGGGTTAAAATAACTTTTGTCATTTCAATAAAGCGAAACTACTTGTATAATTCTTTCCTTTTCCCATGTATCCAATTAAGAACTTGCCAACCTAATTCATCTGAAAATTAAATTTGAAGAATGTCCCATCAAATGTTTGTTTTTCTTCTGTTGGTATTAACATTAAGTTTAATAAATACATCGATTAAGATTGGAGCTAGAGTAGTATATGTATGTACATATGTATGTATACTTTGGTATAAATTAATGATTTACAAAACGGCAACACTGGCGCTGTCAGTGCGTTGGCCAAAGCAGCGTTAACATCAACTGAGAGGCTACGACGCCTTATGCTACACTCGTATGTGTTTGTATTTGTATTTGGTTGTGTGTGTGTGTCTGTCGTCTCTCTTTTATTGTAGTTGCTGTTGTTGTTGTTGTCTTGGCATGTGCGCGCAGGTAAAGCTATCACTGTTGTATGCAGTTGTTGTTGTTGTTGTTGCTGTTGCTGCTGTTATTGTGTTGTGGTTATTATTGTAGCAGCAGTTGTTGCTGGTTGCTTTTTTGTTGCAAGTGGAACGTGATTATTTCAACGAGCACTGCGCTCTTGTCTTATTATTTTCGTTGTTTTATGTATATTGTACATATGTATGTATATACATATGTATGTATGTTTCAAGTGATTTCTTTTGACATGCGTTTGTTGTTATTGTTTTTGTAATCTCTATGTGTGAAGGTTGTTTTGTTTTTGTTCCTGTATGCTCAATTTTATTTAAATATTTTGAGCTATTATTTATGTTCAAATATGGCATCACACACACACACGCACGCATAAATATACATATGCATGTATGTATGTATTTAGAATACATGTGTATAAATGCGAGAAGACAAATTGCCTGCTGTTATCTACAACAACAACAACAACACCAACTATAAACCCATAACATATTCATGTTATTCTACATCTATGTATGTACATACATACATATGTATGTATTTTAAATGCTGTTAAACATGCTCATAACTTTCGTTGTTTTTGATGACGCCAATCGACGACGTTCGTTTATCGGTTCGAAATTATGAGATGATTATGGCCTCAAGAGATGAAAAGCGCCGCCGCCGTTACAACAACAGCAGCACAATTGTTCAGCTTTCCTGACTGATTAAACAATGTTGTTTTTTTCTTGCCTTGTTTGGTTGTAGTTTTTCCTGCAAAATCTCTGCTGCCTGCCTGCTGCAATATTCGCCCTTCTTGCATTGCCAATGTGGAAAGAAAATACCTTTTACAAACTATTTTTTCGTTGTTTCTTTCATTTTCGTCTTTTGTGTTTGTGTGTGTGTGTTGTTTTTTTTTTGCTGTTTGAGACTTCATCGTCGCTGGTTGCCTTCTTTTTCTTCTTGGCTGTTGTTGTTGTTGCTGCTTTCTGCGCCATCGTTTTTAGTTTCGTTTTGTCGTTTCTGTTTCTGTTTGACTATCGTTGCTGTTGTTGTTATTGTTGCCGTTGCTGCTGCCGCTGTCGCTTTGTATGTCTCCGAGTATATCTGCGTTTAGCTATGCTTCGTTTTGCTTTTGCTTTGGCCTGAGCTTGGCCTGAATGTTGGCCGCGACGGCTCTGCCGCCAGCGCTATGAAATATGCCGCAGTCGTCATTATGTGTCTCTCTGTCTGTCTATCTGTCTGTCTATGTGTGTGTACGTGTAACTTTGCCTGTGCTTGTGTGTATTTATTTACGTATGTATGTATGTCGAATGTAACTTGTTGTTGTAGTTTTTTTGCTGCAACTACTGCAGTTAAAAAAGTCGCAGGGAAGAGGGGGTGGATGGGGAGTGGTGCTCAGGAAGATGACCAAATGCACACACATACACACACATACATACTAGCAGTCGCAGCGTGCGTGTGCATGTAAATATGTACATGTGTATGTAAATAGCCATTTTTATGTACATATGTATGTATGTATTTCATTTTATTACGTATCCATCCGCAGGCTTACATATGTATGTACATATGTATACAAGTATATGTAAAAGCTTTTATAAGTGAGCTCTGCTCATGACCCGAAATAACACAAGGAACATATTAAGGATATTTTGTTGCAAAAGAAATCTTTTGAAAAAACAAAATATTTGAAATTTCAACTATTAAAAAAATCAACTAAAAATTCATAAATGAAAAATTCTAAATAAAATTAATTAATTAATTAATTAAAATTAATAATTTAACATTTAAAATAATAGATAGTTTAAGAAAAATGTTAAAAAAAAGAGAAATAAATGTTATTGGAAAAATTATAAACAAAAATTTGAATTGAAAAATATAATAAAAAAGTAAAAAGTTGGCTTTAACAAGTTTTTTAATATCATTAAAAAATGTTTTATGATACTTATGACATTTATGACAAGTTATAAAATTGATAAATAAATATAATCAGCAAACATTTTTTAATACTATTGAACATGTAAGCAAACACGTTTTCAAAACATGTCTGATTAAAAAGCAAAGTATCAAAAATATTTACTCTTTCATTTACATCTTTTTAAACTCTCAAATCGGCAAAATCAAACAATTTATAAGCAAATAATTAAGTTAAGTAGAGGCGACTAACTGGGGCGACTGTGCCATTAGATATGTTTTGCCATTCAACAACAATTCAGTCATGAAGGGGAAAACAGGAGTTATGTTTGCGAGTGGCGTGCCTAGAAATAATTCATTGAATATGAAAATAGATGTGTTTTTTTCCAATGCTATTATTAGCAAGTCTCCCACACATATCAACCGCACAGATGAGGGAAAAGGGCAAAGGGCGCAATAAAGGGCTTCATCACCCACACAGAAACATAAATAGGAAAATACGAAAATATGCTAATAATGCGCTAAAGAAGGCGGCGGCGGGCGGCCTCATAAATATCATTCCCTTCCCGCCTCTTACAATTGATAGCTGAATGCATTTGTAAATCCATAAAAGGTTGCAATCTGCATTTTCAGCACTCTATTTATCGGCGTCCACCACTCTCTCTCTCGGCTCGGCTCGGCTCGGTTCTACAGCCTCAGAGATCCAAATGTCAGATACAATTTAGCTTCAGCTACAAAGAGCCCGTACGCCCACTAGGGCGTGACATTTAAAGGGCAATATCAACAAGCGTGGGGTGGCGTGGGCAGCAAACAACAACAACAGCAACAAAAAGTTGCGCATCGCAATTATTGCGACCTCATTAGGCAGCGTGTGTGCCCAATAAAAGGCACAACCACACACACACACACACACACACAAACACTCACCTGCACATGAATAACTGTTAGCATATGCATAGGTATGTGTCTATGTACATAGTATGTATGTATGTTTGTATGTGTAATGGATATAACGACAATTGTTTGGCTACTCACTTGGGCAGATTCTGTAGGTAACGCATTTGCTTCTCACGCCTCAGCTCGTCGGTAAGTCGGCAATAAGTATTGTTGATGCAGACGCTGCGTCTGAGGTTTGCCTCAGAGTCCTTGATGCGTTCTAGCTTGTGGGCGCAGAGCTGGAGGATGCGTTTGCGCTCCTCCCGCTGCCGCAGCTTGGGCGTGATCATTGGCACGCGTGAGCGATGATGATGATAGCCAATGGGGGGTGAGCAGCGTGGTGGGCCAAACATGTCCGAGTCATCGTCACTGCTGCTGCTGCTGCCGCCGCCGGCGCCACCATTTGCAGAGCTTGTGGTTGGCAAGGTCATTGCGCGACCGGCTGTTATTATTATATGCTTGTTGTTGTTGTTGTTGGTATTGTCGTTTGTGTTGCTGCAGCCACAAAAAGCAAAAGGAAAAGCAAACGCCGAAATTCTTCAACTCTATGCTGACAAGGTAAACCACCAGCACTAATTGTTCATATGATTATATCTCTATCTCCTGCTCTCTTAGTGTGTGTGTGCGTGTGCATGTATATATGTACATATATCTATATATCGAAGTGCGAGTTGATTTTCTTTAATTGATTTCTTGTTGTGGCGTTTTTTAATTTTTTATTTGGTTTTCTTTTTCTTTTGCGTTAGGAGGCAATTTTTTGCATTATAAAGTCTTGCAAGTGTTGCTCTTCCTCTCTCCTTTTCTCTCTCACTCTCTTGACACACACGCACGCACACACAGTTATGCGGTGGTAGGCACGCGACGACTGCGACTACGTCGACGCTGGCAGAGGGCGTCTGGTTGCTGGCCCCTCTTTTTACGTTTGGCTTTGGCTGCTGCTGCTGTTAGTTTGGTTTGGGGTTTTTCTTCTTTTTTTTGCGTGAGATTTCACTTGGCGCTGTTCCGTTATGTTTCTTGCTGTTGTTGTTGTAATTGTAGCATTTGTAGCGTGTTGTTATTATTATTATTGTATAAGTTATTGCAATGTTTACCGTTATGCACGATTTCCTCTTAATACTTCTTTAACACACAGCCTATTATTGACCTTGCATTGAACCTTTTGATTTGTAATGTGTTTTTATCTCCTCTTCTATCTTTGACGTTTTCAATTCAAAATAATCCAGGACTTTTGAATCTGAACGTTTTGATGCTGATGCACACACAATAAAAAAATAACAAAAAAATTGATATATGTAGGCACGCTTTTTACAATTTTACAACAACAAATGCCAGATTTTAACGCATAAGTTTATCCTTGTTGCTTTGTTTATTCGACTGTGCAAGGAGGGAAGCAAAGGGGCAGAGCACACACATACACAAAGTCACAACACGCTAAAGAGTCGACAATTTAATTATGCTACTAACTGAGACAATTTTGTTTGTGTTTTCTTAGGCCTCGCTTTTCAATTGTGTGCAGTGTGCAGTAAGCGTCGTGGTTTGGAGTGGGGGGGGTGAGCGCGCGACTCTGTTTAACTTCAACTGTAACTGGTGCTGCTGTTGGTTGTCTGTGTTTTACTGTTAAATGGACCGAACACCGCGCTTACGAGTCAAGCACGTCCACACGGTTCTCGCGTTCGAAATGAACTGAAAACACTGCATGAATGAAGCGCACAGCCAGCCAGATGTTTGACTTCGGCTGACTGCCGCGCAGCCGGCGTCGCAGTCGGCACACGAGCAACAAACGGAAGTAGCAGCCAACGTCGCGTCGCGTAGCTACTGCAAAAGCACCAGCCGAAGAGAAGCAAGAGCGCAGCTCCAAAGGAAAAGAGATAAAAGAGCGAGTGGCGTACGTGCGAACATGTTCATGACGTGTATGTGTGTGCTTGTGAGTGTTGTGTGTGTGTTTTGTGTGTGTGTTCATGTTTGAAGACATGCAAGTGACGCAAAAAAAATAAAAAGAAAATTATAAGAAAAATTGGTAGTTGGTGTTGTATTTGTTTTTTTCCACTCTCCCTCTTTGTTTGCCTGCTGCCGCAGCCGCTGCCGCTGCTGTGCCATTTGTAACGGAAGCAAAAATGCAAACACTCACACACACATAATCATTGTTGCTATGATGCTAGTGTGGCTAGAAGAGGGGGTGCGCAAAAAAAGAAATAGCCAAGAGCCTGTCCACTTGGCACGCGGCCTGACCGACCACTGAGGCCAATGACTATAAATTTTATGGACGCACTTTCAAAACAAAATAAATCTAACATACATACATACATACATGCTTTTGCATATGTATGGATATATATATGTATGTGTGTTATTGTTTAATTTGTAACTTGCCATTAAACTTTTATCTGCGAGAGCAAATACAAAAAATACTAAGAATGCAAATTTCTACTAAATTCAAACAAACGCGCACACATACATACATATTCTTTTATTTCTCCTCCTCCTCCTCCTTTATTAGTGCTTCGCTCGTTTTTCGTTCACTTTTAATTCCTTGGAATTGATGTCGAGTATTTATGTGCGTGTGTGTGTGTGTGTTTGTTTGTGATAATTTGTTTGCGTGTTAAAAATTGAAAAGAAACGGAAAATGATAAACATATGAATGCATATACACACATACATACGTATGTATGTACGTATGAGTATGTATATTAATGGATATTAAATGGACAACTATCCCCCCGTTCCAATGACTCAGTCATGATCATAAAATTAGCTGCAGAAATAAAAGCTTTATCATTGACTTGCTGCATGATTCACAGCCTAGAGGTTCTTTTTACAACAACTGTAATTTATCGATCTCCCACATTATGTGCACTTCTAAAAACCTTTTTTGACTTTTCTAGTTTTAATTAATTTTAATTAAATATAATTAATATACATATGTATGTACATGCATATGCACATGCTTCTTTAGATGTATACTTTCATTTGCATAATTTTTCCAAATTTTAATACACTTTACGAAAATGATGGAAAATCGCATAACGGTTTAGTGGGGCGGGGTTCGTAACATACAAACATGTACATATGTATGTACATATTATGTACATTTTTTGTAAGTGTTGTTCGGGTCTTTAACCCAAATTTTTGAACTCGCGTTTATAACCCACTAGAGTATTTCAACCCATTTGTATGTACAAAACCACACACTCATATATACATACATACATATGTACATACATACATACATACATACATAGATGTGTACATTTGTGTGCGTTTGTGCTTCGTTCGTTTGTTGTTGTTGCTGTTGGAATTTGTAAATGGCCGCTCGCCCTGTCCCCAAGCACTCTTGGGCAGATAAATTCAAATTATGTAATTAGGCAGTAGGCAGAAAACTTAACTAACAATTAAGTATTTATTGCTTTCAATTTGCTGCCAAGATAAGCGCCCAAAGCACACAGCCAACAACAATACATGCAAACAAACAACAAAAATCACACTCACACATACACTAAACCGTGACGCATGTCTGCGACTACCTGCGACAACGGCGACGCCGACATCGACGTCTGACTGAGCAAAAAGAAATCAGCGCATTTTATTTAATTTCGCTTCATTTTTTTTAAGCCACATTCCTCTTAATGGTTCTTTAGCCATTGCTTGCAAGATTAGCGGGGCACGCGCTTTGACTTTTGTGAAGTAGGTAACACGGTCGAGGGGCGAGGATCTGGCTTTGCTAAATTTTTAAGAAGCACAAACACAAACAAATATAAAGGAAGTGAAAACGAAAACAGCAACAAAAACCGTTGAAAGGCAGCGACGCTGGCTGCGACGTGTTTCAGTCTCTTAGTCTGACGTAGAGATGGACGTGGGCCGATACGACACGGCCACAAAATGGACTCTCCTATGGATTTATATGTACAATTGTAAATAGTTTTTCTGTTGTAAATCGAAGCAATAACACAAGTCGATACTATTTATATTATTTGTATATGTACATATGTATGTACATATTTATAACTCCCATTAAGGCGTTCTAGTTAAAATTAAGATGATTTATTAGTGAAGTACCATGAACGACGAATGCGCGTCTGAAGACAGTGCAGTGAATAAATACACGGCCCCTTCCCACCACTAGTTTCAGTCTCTTCTTCGTGCTGTCTGCCTTTGGCCATCTCGCACTTTTAAAGGCAAATCACGTAAAGCCGACATTCGACGTTGCTGCTGGTCAGCAATTTTCACATCAATGTTGTAAAAATCAAATAAACAAATGCCGCCGCCTCTGTCGCCGACCACCTCCTTAAACAACTCAACGAAAATATTACAATAGCATCAACAACAACAGCCAGTCTAGCGTAATTATCAATAACATATTTAAGCGTTGCCGTTGCCGTCGCCGTCGCCGTCGCTGTTATCGTTGTCATTGTTGTTTCTTTTTCATAACTCTCTCTCTTTACTCACCGCTCTTTAGCAGTAAGTTGACTATACGACGCTCTCTTGAATTTACCGAATGCGGACGCCACAAAGCAGACGTTTTTTTTAACAAGCCATATGCACAGTGGGAATGCATTGAATCTGAATTAATTGTGAATAATTTGCTGGTGCACATTCATATGTATGTATGTATGTGTTTTTAAATTATACAATGTTAATAATCAACAAAATTATTTATATACATGTGCTTTGTGCAGCTGCTAGTATGCACACATATGTATGTAGGTATATGCATGCATTACCTACTTGCCCCACAGTGCATCGTGTGAATGAACGTATAAAAAGTGAGAGCGAGCGTCGCGCTCATAAACGAAAATCAATGACTCCCATTGCGCGGCGGCGCCCGTGCTCCAAAAGACAAAGCCATTGCTTGCCTTGTTTTTTTTTGTTGTTGCTAAATACAAACATACATATGTATGTATGTATGTATGTATGTATGAAGACTCTGACTTTGGCGTCTTCTTCCCCCGCTAGCAGCAAATTTGTCCACAACTTTGTCGTGTGGAGTTTAGCTGCGCTTTCTGGGCAGCGTTGCGGCAGAGAACAGTTTGTTAAGTTGATGGTGGCGGCGACGGCAACGGCAACGGCGGCAGAGACAGAAACAGAGACCAAGACCAATAATAACAGCCAGTCAAAGCAACAGAAGCAGCAGTAACAACACCAACAACAATAATAAAGAATCAGTGATAAATGCGTCAGCAGATTCAATGTGCATGTACACGCATACATACATATGTTTGTATGCGTGTTGGCACGTTGTGCGTTGCCTTTGCTGCTGCGGTTGCTGTTGTTGTTGTTGATTTGTGTGCATTAAAAATGAATTGTGTTTGGGGGAACACTGTTAAAGCTGGCGTTGCCATTCGTAAGGCACAAATAATACAAACAAATTTTAGAAAAAAAATATATTATGAAGACATATTTGAGTATTGGGAAATTGCATTTGAACTTTGCAGATAATTTTTTGATTTAAATAACTTGTTTCTCATTTTCTGGGCTTCGAGTTTGAGTGTAGGTAGCAATGTTTTTGTTGCTACGACGATGCATTGACGTTGGCGCGTTTCTCAATTCTGCATGCCCTTCACAAAAAATTGTTGTATGTACATACATACAATGTACATACATGCATATGTACATATGTATGTATGTATATTAAATGTTGCCATTTGCCTATGCTTTATACAGATGTACATTCATATGTATGGATGTATGTATGTATCAAGCATGTTTGTATTTTTGCATGCTTATATGATAATTTTGGCCAAAAAGTGGGCAGCCGCAGCAACTAAGTTTGCCAGAATCTATGGAATGGAGGCGCCGCCTCTACCTTGGCCTCAGCCGGCCCAAAAGGGTAACGGTAAACGACAAAGCAGCCGGCGAAAGCATTTCCAATGTTTCTCTTTGCCTTCTCTCGCTCTCTCGCTCATTCTCTCTCTCTCTCGCTCACCTACTCTTCATGTTTATGCTTTGAACATTGATACGTGCCACTTTTTGCTGCTGCTGCAGCCGACGCCACAGATATACATACATACATACGTACATAGATATACACGCTAGCATACACTTACATGAATACATATGGATGTACATACATATATGTATGTGTGTGTTTGTGTGTGTATAGGCACAAGTATAACACACTGAGGCGTGCATAGAGAGCCACAGGCCCATAAACAGGACAGAGGGACTGAACGGGCCAGACAGACAGACAGACAGGCAGGCAGATAGCTGGGTAAGTTTGTAATTAATTGCGGCCTTGCCACACACCGCCCCCCAGCTGCTTAACCTGCCCTCTATCCCCACTCCCGCTCTCATCTACCCCTTTTTCTTTATCGGCATGCGTTTCAAAAGTGAAGCGAAACGACAAGCGAGGCGTCGGACATGGGATGTAAAAGTGGATGTGTGCGTGTGGATGTGGATGTGGACGTGGGAAAGTCGAGCGCGTTTTGTCTCCCCGTGCAACTTCTCCCCTTCCCCTTCCCCAACCCTTACCCGTACCCGTACCCCTTCCAACCGTTGTCAATCTGTGTATGTAGTAGCAGTAGCTGCCCACCATTGCGCACTCTTTTGTTGTTCCTCTCCATCTCTCTCCGTCCCTCCATCCACATCTTCATGCCTCTCTCTCTTTGTACTCTGACTACACACTGGCGGCAAACTTTGGTGTGGAAACGCATCATTTGCTA